TAATTCTAACATGCACAGATAATGACAATTATTAATCTGTTAACATTTTTGTCCATATCTTTCCACTTTTTTAATATTTTTGTTTTAAAAAATAGGATCATAATATACATATTGTTTTATTAGCCTGCTGCTTTTCACTTTACATGATATCTTGAAAATATTTCCCTGCCATCAATTATTTTTATATAAACTTTTGATGGTTCTCACAATTGATTTTGAATAATTATTTTTATGTATGAGACTTTTGTGGCTCCTTTTTCTTTTTTGGTGGGGGGAAGGTAGCAAGAAGCTTAGTTTCCTTTTAAAGATAAAGATAGCCTTTTCAATGTCTCTGAGTTTTCATTTTATTCTGCTTTACTCAATGCAAAAAGACTCACTGCCTGCTGTTTTCTACCTACCTTTCAGAGGTTGTTATAACATTAACAAATATATTGCCTTAACAAATCCCACACAAACTCCAAAGAACTCTCAAGAGTAATCCATACATTTAACTTTTATTAGTTGCACATAAAAGTCATCTATTATGAGACTTAAAGGCTTCCTTTACATTAAAATAATAGCAGGTCGTATACCCAGAAAAAAAGCCTTGACAAAAGTGATGACCACTCACACCCACGCTATTTGTTCAGACCAAATCATCATGTAGAATGGAGACATAATCCTCTGAGTGAGAATTTCTAGTCTTTAATTGTTTCGGGTGGACAGGAGTGTTGAAAAAGGCAACTCATAATTAACTTACGAGAAAATCCTTCAAAATGATGGAACCTAATCATCTACCCTTTTCCAGTCAAGCAAATTAAATTCTTTCCCCATGCATATCTCTAAATTGCAATCCTGTACAAGGAAATTATTGAATCTAACCTTAGGCAGTGACCATCTTTTGGGGCTTACATTTAAGCAACAGATGTTGAAGAATTAATTTTGAGACTGACTTCATTCCTTTTGAAGAATGGTTTGAAATGGGCCTCATGCTGGAATCAATTTTTCAAGTGTATTTGAAAATAAGTAAGGATATCTTCTCATAGTAGATGAGTCTCCATTAGTAAAATACACATTGTATGGTTTCCATAATTAGGGCATCACATTTTCTCCAGTAAAATTGCCAGTAGGGAGAAGAAAGTGCTTTGAGATGGTATATAGAATTGTTTCTTTTTTAAAAATCAGAGACTGCTAGAGCAGAAGCTATTTTAGAATGCAGATAACCCCTGAAAAGCCTTATTAGTTAATGGAAGAGTTTAGTTTAATTGTAGGGAAAAAAAGAATACATTTCTCTGAGATTGCTTAAATGTTTTTCAAACCAAATAGTATAGAAAACAAGGAAGCCCTTTAAAGAAGATAACCCAAAAAAAGAATGGTTGGAGATGATCTCTATTGGCCTTTGTTTCCTTGGATGATTGGATGTCCAGAAAACTGTTGGAATTTTGTTTTTAATTGCTAAATCAGTGGAGGCCATGTCTACACTGCCAACAGAAGAAAGTTAAAAAACTCATTTCAAACAACTTCTTATCAAACCAATCAGGGATATTCTATACAGTATACCTATATCAAAAATACAGAAGAGGCCAGGCGAGGCGGCTCATGCCTGTAATCCTAGCACTTTGGCAGGCCAAGGTAGCAGAATTGCTTGAAGCCAGGAGTTCGAGACCAGCCTGAGCAAGAGTGAGATCCCATCTCTACAAAAAAATAGAAAATTTAGCTGGATATGGTGACATGCACCTGTAGTCCCAGCTACTTGGGAGGCTGAGACAGGAGGATCACTTGAGCCCAGGAGTTTGAGGTTGCTGTGAGCTATGATGACACCACTGCACTCTAGCCCAGGTAACAGACCAAGACTCTGTCTCCAAAAGAAAAAAAAAAATACAGAAGAATTATTTGTTCTGATCTTATCCCAAATTATATAAGTTGGTAACCAAATGTTACAATTGGAAGACATCTTAGAACTATACCTCTTTCTATGGTACTTTTTCTCCTAAATTTAAAAGAAGAAAAAATAATTTTGAAATCTGACCCCAGTCTTTACAATCGTTTAGTGCATGATCAAATGTATTCTACAAAGAATATTTTATTTGGAATTAACCTAATTTGTTTTCTGCCAACAATAAGTTAGGTTGTTTTTTACAGTTCTCAAGTAACAAGTATGAGGACCGAACTCTCATTCAACATCCAAGCCCTCGCAATTTGGGCAAATATATGTTTAGTAAGAAAGTGAGTAATATAATTTCTTTTCCTGCTATTTTTCCCGTGTTCATGAACTGAATTAATGTTTTCAATATGTCATCGCAGAATATTGCCAGTATTATTTTATACCCCAAATAAACGATTCTCCTGACTACTTCTATTAAGACAAATGTTATG